TCAGCTTATAACACCACTCCTCCATACATTTTATTTTGAGAATGAAGAATAAGCAGAGAAGCTAGAATCTCTGAATTTTAGATGTAAAAATGATCCGAAGATTATTATAGATTATAATTTTATTAAGATTATATATCAACTCAACCCCAGAGTTTGCAGGTAAAACTGAATCCATGAAAAGTCAAATGAGTCATCTAAGAGAAAAGAGCTTTTCAGTTAGACACAGAAGGACTGAGATTAAGAAAGAAATGGCATCAACAGAGAGAAAGGCTAAACTAGTCAGTACTGAAAATAGGAACAAAAAAGTAAAATGAGATCTATACTTAGTACCATTCACAGACATAATTATGGTTAACTAAAAAACTGAGTAAAATCATTAAAACTCTGAATTAACTACTGAAAGAAAACTCTTGATGACATATAATGACATACACACTCAAGGATAATATTACATTTAATATCTTAACATGTTTTCTAAATGACATGGTTAACTATTCACTCCAGCCCATGTCTAGGCCCTGATGACTCCCTAGGAAACTACAAGAGGTAGGAGTCAAGGAACACACTGACCAGATAATCCTTAAAGAAGATAGTAACCAGCTCTCATCTGGTATGTTTTCTCTGACTTTTAGAAAACATTGTGAACTGAACTGGGCTTATATATTTCTATTTCACAGATGGTAAATTAAAACTCAGAGGCAGGATTAATATTTGCTTAGTGCTGTGCAGTGACTGACACTGAGATAACTTAAAATAATTCAATAATCAAAAATCTTGGCTAAGCATTGTACTTAAAATAACAGTCGATTTTTTTTATTCACAAATTAGTTAACATACAATGTCTTGGCTTCAGAATTGGAACTCAGTGATTCATCACTGACATATAACACCCAGTGCTCATCACAATAAGTGCCCTCCTTAATGCCCATCACCCATTTAATCTACTCTCCATCCCCCAGCTCCATCAACCCTCAGTTTGTTCTCTGTATTTAAGAGTCTCTTATGATTTGCCTCCCTCTATTTTTATCTTATTTTTTCTTCCCTTCCCGTATGATCATCTGTTAAGCTTCTCAAATTCCACATGAGTGAATTCATATGGTATCTGTCTTTCTCTGACTGATTTATTTCACTTAACATAACACCCTCCAGTTCTATTCATGTTGTTGCAAATGGCAAGATTCCATTCTCTTTCATCACCAAGTAGTATTCCATTGTCCATATATATCACATGTTCTTTATCCATTAATCTGTCAATGAACATTTGGGCTCCTTCCTTAATTTGGCTATTGTTGATAGCATTGCTACATACATTGGGGTGCATGTGCCCCTTAGACTCAGCATTTTTGTATCCTTTGGAATTTTAACCTTCAAGTGTTTTAGTGTTAGGTTTTTTTTTTTTTTTTAATTTATTTCTAGGAGAGAGAGAGAGAGACAGCGTGAGCAGGGGAGGGTCAGAGAGAGAGGGAGTCACAGACTGAAACAGGCTCCAGGCTCTGAGCTGGCAGTCAGCACAGAGCCCGACGCGGGGCTCGAACCCACGAACCGCGAGATCAAGACCTAAACGAAAGTCGGACGCTTAACCGACTAAGCCACCCAGGTGCCCCTTGGTGTCAGTTTTAAAATCGTTATTTAGGAGCACCTGGGTGGCTCAGTCGGTTAAGTGTCTGACTTCGGCTCAAGTCATGATCTCATGGTTCGTGGGTTTGAGCCCCACATCGGGCTCTGTGCTGACAGCCAGCTCAGACCCTGGAGCCTGTTTCAGATTCTGTATCTCCCTCTCTCTCTGACCCTCCCCTGCTCATGCTGTCTCTCTCTCTCTCTCTCTCTCAGAAATAAATTTTTAAAAAATATTGAAAAAATTTTAAAATTGTTATTTAGTCTTTTCTTAGAAGTTAATTATTCTCATTCTAACAGCCCAAATTCACAATATTTTGCTTCCGAAGAGTAGTTTGCTGATAGGTGTGGAAAAAATAAAAAGCATTTCAGCTTCAGTGGAAGCCACATAACTGTGATGCATTCTAGTCAGCACCAAGCATAAATTGCCTCATCACCCCACCCTAAGTACTTCAACTCCAACATGCAAAGTCCTAGAAGTACAATTTTTCTTAATAATTTGTTATATTCATGAGACTGAGATTTTTGCCCAGTTTCACTGGAGCATGAATCTGTCATCTGTTCCTTAAGCTTATTTCTTTTTATTCTTTTGAAGAGCAAATGCAGTCAAATGTAGCACGCATGACGCTCCTTAAATAAGATGCATTGAAGAATTTATAGACATTTGGTGGAACACAGAAATCCTTTTATATTGATTTGTCTTGTAAGTAAAACAGACTTTTAGTGCAGGAGTTGATCAATCACAGAAATCTTTCCGCTGGCTGGCTCTATGTGTTAAAATAAAATTATACTAGATCAGCCTGCCAGAATTAATCTCTCCAACTATCACACCTCCATTATGGCTCTTTGTTTTAGAGTATTTATGTAAAAGTCTAACTCAGACTATGAGTTTCTTGAGAGAAGGAACTTTTCCTATCACTTTTCAAATCTCTAATAATTTCTCATGGCCCTGATGATCAAACTATAAAATTGAAGTGATTTTCCAGATAGCAACAAAAAGAAGATTAGGGTGTAGATTATTTCCAAAAATAACTGTTTTGTAAAAGGCTTAACTCTTACTTCTTTTTATCTGAAAGATTAAAATAATAACTGTAATTTATAGGAGTGCTTACTAGGTTCCAAGATTTGTGCTATGGAATTTGTATATTTTATGTTATTGAGTACTCATGATAACCCAATGGAGTCAATATTACTATTTTCCTTTTAGGACTTAGGGGTGAAAGTTCAGAAAGGATACATAAATGGTCTAAATTCTAGTAAGAATCAGTAATGGGATTTATATCTCTTTGGTGTTCAAAGGCAGTGCACTTAATTAGCTTGCCTACCAAGGTTGAATCTATGCAATGTACTTATGCTTGCTACATCCTATGTATGTATGTCATTTTCAAGAACATTTAATTCAGATAAGGTAAATATCAACCTCCAAAATTATTATATACAGGCTTTGACATTTTTCCATTTAGTATAATACATTTTAATGTAGTGTTGCTACTTGTAATATTTGAATATGCCTTTTAACTATATCCAGAGACTTCACGCATTTGAGGACAGAGCTGATATGCTTCATATTAATCTCAGACATTATAGGTACCAATCCCCTTCATATCATGTATTAAGTGAAGACAAGCAATTGTCTGGCATATTGTCTGGTCTCACTGAGTTCATTCCTAGACATTAACCTTTAAAGCTGTTGTGAACTTGAAATCTGGTAGTCTAATTTGAATAACAGGTATGTGGGCTTATGGAAATTTTCTGCATAATATAAAGCACTTTTTTCCTCCAAGAAAATGAATCTTAAATTCCTTGTAGATTCAAAAAAATTGGTTGTTTGTTCTGAGTTATGGTGATTTATATGCAGAAAAACCTTATTTTCATTGTGTGGAGGAAAGTGTAAATCTGGGAGAGACCAAAAGATCAGATAACGAGAAAACATCCTTTACAACAGGTAAGGTTAAATAACTGTTAACTTGCAAAAGATTAATGGGACAACTCAACTATTAATTGCTAAGATAAATCCAACGTACTTCCACATACAAATGCACAAGCCCATGTGTGTGCTTACACACACATTATGGCTTAATAGGATTGCTGCGCGTATAAAACTGTTGTTTTTTTCTCATGTATTTATTTAAGGTACAAATTCTAAAGATTCATTTGTGATAACCAGAAATACTAATTTCAATGAGGACTGGCCTATTCTCACAAACAACTATTAATTTCTTAGATTTTTTTAATAGCAAAAGTAAATGAAGATTTGGAGAAATCAGGACATTTACAGTTACTTGAAAACAATGTGAAAGATACTAAAAAAATAAAAATAGAAATTTCATATATCCAGCAACCCCCCTTCCAGCTATATATCCAAAAGAATTAAAACTGGGATCAGAAAGAGGTATTAGCATTCCCATGTTTACTACAGCATTAATCATAATGACTAAGGGGTGGAAACAACTCAAGTGTCAGTCAAAAAATGAATGTATGAAGAAAATGCGTTATATACATAAAAGGGAATATTATTCAGCCTTAAAAAAGAAGAGAATTCTGGCATATGCTGCAATCTGGATGAATTGTGAGTATATCATATTAAGCCATTCACAGAACAAATATTGCACGGTTGCACTTGTATGAGCTTTCTGAAGTAGCTAAACTCAAACAAGCAGGAAACAGAATGCTGCTTGCTCGGGGCGGGGCAAGGGAGTGGAAAAGCAGAATGGCTGTGCAGTGGGTACAAAGTTTCAGTCATGCAAGAGGAAGAAGCTCTAGAGACCCGTTATGCAACAGTGATCATATGAACAGTACTAAATTGTACACTTAGAGTAAGTTTCATGTGTGTGTTTTCATCCCAATTAATAAAAAAAATGAAATTACTATTTCTTGAATTTTAGGTGCACTCACACAAAGAAACATGATTTTTATCTCAAGCTAACTTAAACATTATGTTCAATTATATTGCATTCACTTCCAAGTGTTTGATGAGAGTATTTCAATTTTACCAAATCTGAAGTTGTAACAGTTTGCGAATAAATTTATTATTGCATTTTTTTAAAATTTGGCGTATCTCAAGAATACATTTTTTGTCTAGCAAATATGATCTGGAAATTTCTATTTCTACTTTACATTTTAAATATCATAAAACATATCTGTGGGTGCATTTTAGAGGCAAATTATTGAGTAGAATGGAATATAATATAGGAGCACAATATATAACATGAAATAACTATGTAGATCTTTAGAAATAAGCAAAAATAAATGGTATACAAATCTATGAAGAATAGCAGAAAAATTCAAAAAAACTTCAGGATAATGATTATCTTTTTAGTAAAGGGAGACTGAGGAAGGTATTGGGGCCAAGAAAGGAAGAAATGGAAACAGAATAATGGTATTACCTTCATTCTTAAATTTGGGAGTGGCATCTTGAGTGTTTGTTTCCGTATTACAGTTGCTTGCTAAAATATTCATTTGTACGTCTCAAATATTCCATAATAAAAACATAAATATATTGAAAAACACATGTTAACATTAAAATATATTTACAACATATTCCACATTCCCATCTAAATATAAAGGACCCGGCCCGGGGACAAGATGGTGGAGAAGTCAGAAGCTCTTTACTTGCACTCGCGCCTATACATCACACAGAAAAGATCTGAAGCCATTGGAAACCTTACAAAACCTGAGAGATTGGGAGACAAAGGACGCAGAATCCACTGAGAGAGACTTCTAACGTGAGTGCGAACCGGGGAAGATAAAATCGGGCCGGGATCGGAGACTCCAGGGTGGGAGACGATCTCCCTCTACCCTCTACGGGAGTGAGAGGGGAAAAGGAGAGAGTCCAAAACAGAAAAACCTCCGTTCGGTGGGGGAAAACCTCCCCTTGGGGCAGAGAAAGACCGTACTTGCCAAATACCTGCACACCAGGTCCCCTCGCACCAACTGGTCCCGGTCGGCTGAGCACACAAACTGCTTCTTTGTGCTGCTCCTGGAGGCTGGACTTCAGAGCAGCGGCGCGCCTGCCACCATTGTGGCTCCCGGGCGGCTGGGGACCCTGAAAGAGCCACGCGGACACCGGGCGTCCACGCTCCTGGTGGGCTGGAACTCGAGAGGGAAGGCAAAGACCTAAAAACTGGGAAATTAGCCTGTGAATTCATGTTTCGGGTGACGAGCCATAGAGGGACCTGGTTTTCCTCACTCCAGCGGGCTCGGGGTCAGAACACCCAGCAGGCAAGCCCCCGCCCTTGCGCTCCAGCCCGACCCAGAGACGGAAGCAGCGGTTCTGACTCCACCCCCAGAGCTCGGCAGGGGGCCTGGAATTGCCCCAGGGGGGTTGCCTGGGAAGCTGTGTCCAAGGCAATTTCAGCGGGGCGTGCGGACTGGGATTTGGAAATTGGAACTGGCCTGGGTTGAAGAGTGCAACCAACTTTGGCTGCTCCCCTGGAACGGGGAGTTAACACGCCCAAAAAAGCGAGGTGCAGCGCGGGGTTCAAAAAGGGACTGGATCACCGTCACTCGCCTCCCCACAACCGCCAAGGCAGAGCTCCCGCCTGAGGCATTGGATCAAGCCATGCCGATCCCTGCCTGAGCCCTGCCCTCCTCCCTTTTTTTTTCCTTTTTTTTCTTCTTTCTCTTTTCTCTCTTTTTTCCCCAGAACACTGACCTGATTAACTCTGGTCACCAGCTTGCTTAAACAATCACAACAAGTCCATTCTGTATATGTAAATTCTACACCTTTTGACATTTTCATCTCTTTCTCTCAGGAGTAATTAGACTATATAGTTTCTCTGGATAATTCCAGCATCCTTCTCTCACCTATCCAACCATATTCTACCCTTTAC